TGGAAATTTGTGTTATTTTTTCGCTTTGAATATTGTGAATAATGAGTCTGTGAACATTTGTGTACAAATATTTGTTCAAATCCCTGCTTTCAATTCTTTCGGGGTGTTTACTACATTATGTGATAATTCCGTGGTTTTGTTGTTGTTGTTGGTTTTTTTTGTGTGTGAGGAGCTACCACCTTGCTTTCCACAGTAGCCACTCTATTTTAGATTCTCAGCAGTAATATACAAAGGTTCTAATTTTTCCACATCCTTACCAACACTTATGATTTTGTCTTTTCCTTCGGGTGGGGGTGGGGGATAGGCATCCAAATGGGTATGAATTGACATCTCATTAACTTTGCTCATAATTCCTTGACAATCAGTGGCGTTGAGCATCTTTTCATGTGCCTATTGGTCTTTAGTATATCTTTTTAAAAGAAATAGCTATATCAAATATATATTGAAATCCAAAAATAATTTCTTTCTGAATGTGACATAAATTATATGCATTTTTCAGCTTTATTGAGGCATAACTGACACATAAAATTGAATGTATTTAAACTGTACAACATGATGATTTTATATGTATACATTGTGAAGTGATTATCAAAGTGAGATTAAAAATGAGATTAATTAGCACATCAATTCACATAGTTGCTTTTTAAAAATTTTTGGTGAGAATGTTTAAGATGTACTCCCTTAGCAAATTTCAAGTATATGATACAGTGTTATAACTGTAGTTGCTGCTTAGCACCTTAAATCTTCCAAATTTACTCAAAAGTGAAAGTTTATACTCTTTGACCAACATCTCTTCATTCCCCTGGCCCCTGGCCCTGGTAGCCAGCCACCCTATGAGCAACAACACTGAATTGAATTACTGCAAAGGAGAGAAGTAAAAAAATTGGCACTTTGTTTTTAAGTGTTCTGCTTTTTCTTTAAAAAATATAATAAAGAAATGAAACAGTGTGCACATAAAATGTTATATAATAATCTTTTATATAATCTTTTGCAAAAAACTAATGATGTACACTTATACTAAAAATCCTATAAAATTAAAAAATAAACTCTTAAAAATGTCTACACAAGTCATTTGGCATTTTTAATTAGGTCGTTCATTTTGTTTGTTGAGTTATAAGTGGTTTTTTTAATACTCTGAATACCAATTCTGTCTCATATACACGATTTACAAGTATTTTTCCTATACTGTGGGTTATCTTTACATTCCATTGATGGCATCTATTGATGCACAAAAATTTTGAGTTTTGATGAAGTCCAGTTTATTTGTTTTTTTCTTCATCATTGCCTGTACTTTTGCCATCATGTCCAAGGAATTATTGACAACTTATGTTTAAATATTTTAAAAATATAGTTCCTTCCTTTGTAACACCACAAAATCCATGGTAAAAATTCTTCTAAGGGAATTTTGCTTTGAGATGTCTCTTTTGCACTTGTATGGAGAATGAGCTTTATATTATTTCAGAATTGGTTGATTTCTGTTTCACTGTGCTCTTGTGTCCTCTTCTGCTCTTCTCAAGGGGATCCCAAAGGCTCATTTATAGATAAAGAGGAAAAAGAGAGTGAGGGAAAGGCTTATGTTGAAAATATCCTCAATCATTTTTATTGTAGTGGCTGAGGATAGAAAGGGCAGACTTCAGAAAGTCTGAGGAATATGGGGGCGCTTTTGGCAATTGTGGCCTGTAGAAAGCATGCCGTACTAAGCTGGAATGTCATCCATCTGGGAGGGTTGCAACCTATTTCCTAAAGCCTTCCCTTTCCTTCAGGCTACTAGAAAGACTGAAGAGACTGATCCTCGGGCCAGATCACCAGTCCCCATCTCCCACGCAGAAAAGGCTCTTCCATGTCTGCATTGTCACAAAGTGTATGATCCCTTTTGTAAATGCTTATTTCTTTTAGAAAACACTATATTCCTTTTATTTTTATTAAGCATTGGGAAGACCCTCCTAATTAGAAAACCCCTTCCCTACTTGCCAATTTCTTGTGCTTCACTCAATGCTATTTCTCAATTACCTTGTGTGTACAAAATCTCCACTAGTAGCAGCCACATATTCAAAACACTGTAGGTGCTGCTTTGGATAAAAATAAATAAATGGGCAGTACATCATAAATGTATACAGTCTCATGTGGAGGAGAAATTAAATACAGAGAGTGCTTCAAGGACATTCTTTATACCTAATGATTCTTGAAGAATGTATTTAAGTTGTGAGTATATTTTAGTCTTTCTTATTACTTATGTTGCACCATGTATTTCTGAGCTGTGGGACTGCTGTTTGCTCTAGACATCCAGGGTTGGGTTAGGTGAGTATTTGTTTCTCTACCCAGCACGTATGCAGATGGGAGGTCGTTTGCTGTGGCTTTTATGCTTTACTTCTGGTCTGAAGAGTGGTTTTGAGTGCCAATAATTGTCCCCATGCTGCTGCTTGTACAGGAACTTGATTTAGGGATACACAGAGCTGTGGGTGTTCAGATTTCTGCACTTTTAAAATGTTGAATGATGGCACATTATACACAGGAAACCCTTTGAAGATGAACTGTAGATAAATTAGTAAATCTTCCACTTGTCTGCATGGTAGATTCAAAGAAATCATGGAGTAGTTTTTCTGACAGTGAGGAATGATGGCAGTATTTTGCTAATAGGCAAGCAACATTTAGATTCCTGAAATCTCATGTGGTTTTTGGTCTTCAGAAATAATCGTCTTTGTTAATAGAGCCTAAGGGATTAGGTCTTCAGAGAAACCAGTTTCTTGGTGTTGCATATACTTTTAAAAGTCATAATTTCCTCAGCAGCTAGAAAATGCATTTAACCTGCAGCATCCCATCTTAACTCCACTCAGCCTCTCCTGACTCCTCTTTGCTCCTTCTCTCCAGATGCACTTCTTTATCCTGGGCTCCAGGGACATATGGGTGAGCCTGAGAGAAAGAGAGGTCAGAGAGGGGCAGAAGTCAGAGCAAGCAACCTAGGCTCTGCATCCATTTTAACTGGCACCAAGAAAAAGTGTCTTTAGCTGGCAGAGACTATGGGCACCAGGCTTGCTTGTTTTCCATGGAAATCCTGGATGTAACAGAGGCTGATGCCATTCAGGCAGTGAATGGGAAGCTGCTTTTATGGGGAGGCTTTTTGGCACTGTGTCTAACATACACTCCAGTCAATCATGGTAAAGTGCCTAATAACAGATGTGGTAATTAAGCCTGAAGAACTCTGTCTCTGTTTTTTCATTTTTATTTCAGAAAATAACAAAGTGCATCATTAAATCTCCAATCATATAATCAGTGTTGTCAGAAATCATGTGTGTACAAGGGCTGTCTTCTAAAGTCCTCATCAGTCACAGATGCCACTGCAAGAAGGTTAAGTCTTTCTGGTTGGGACAGTTATGACCTTTCTGGGCTTTGCTTTCTGGTTCCAAGTCATATGCTGATTCCTGGACACAGCCAGATTCCTATAAGAACCTTGGCTAGAAATAATTGTACCTTTTATGTGCTTGTTTGAATATAAAATTCTCCCTGATTCTCTTACCTTCAAATTAGATTGCTTATAGCAAGAAATTATCTTTGGCTTTCAATCTTAGGGAAATTTTTGGATAATCTGAAACCACAGTAAATGACCATATTTTAATAAGATAAACTACCTTGGAAGAATTAATTACATCTGAAAAGATCTGTCTATGTGCTATTTCTAAAGCAAAAGTCTTTACTAATTTTGTTTTATTTTATTGTTTAAATGCTGAACATGAGTCTAGCTATCATTAAAGGAAACTAATAATTTAATGAGTTGGGATAGACAGAAACTTTGCCTTGAATTCTTCTTGGGTGGCTAAGAGCTGGTTCTATGTGACTAGGGCGCTCTCAGAAAAGAGCCGAGTGTTCTGCTCCTTTCTGACAGGGCTTGATGTGGTTCTATTGGACGGTGTGGGTTTGGAAGGCACATTTGTATCATTGATATGATTTTGTTTTGTTTCTAATCCAGTGTGGTCATGCATCCATTTCATAAAATTGTTTATTTATTACCTTGTTTCCAGATGCAATTTTGAGTTTTTGAGATATGTCCAAGATAATTTCTGGTTGACTAGATTCTTAATTTTCTCTCTCTGAACCTGGCCCATGAAATAGGTAACTCAGAGCAGAACTAAGATTTAATTTCAATAGTTGTATTAATAAAGCATAAACATCCTGAAGAAGTAAACTATATTTTACATTTGTACACACACATGTACACACGTACATATAAGGACAATACTAACCTTAATGACACTTCATATTTGTTTACTCATATGAAACCTAGTATTTATAATTCAATTTTTAGTATATGTGCTGCCGAAGTGAGCACTATAATTCAATTTTCACCACCTTTATTCATTTAGACATTTTCCTTCATTGATATCAAACATGTTTCTTGCTAAATATAAATCAGCAATGTTCAGACTTCACTACAGTGAAATCCATTTTAAGAAATTATTTTCTCTATCCAGCTTAAATCTAAAAGTAAAAACTCTTAGGTACAGTAGACAAGACCTATGGTTCAGGCAAAGATACTGTCTTCAGAGTTACTTGGTTTCTAGAAGAGCAAAACTTTTCTTTAAATAAAATCTAGAATAGTGTCCTTATGTTTTTTTTAATAATAGCAAGATCTTCTGTGTTGATAGAGCTTATGTTTAGTTCCAGTTTCATTGTTGAAGAGAATAAGTTTTTAGGTTCACTTTAAGATAAATTGGACATTTGGCCAACCAAGAGTGACTCTGGCCTCAAGCGCCACCTCCTGGTAGAATTGATCATGTCACAGATTACTTTCCAAAATTACCTGGGCTCTCAGCTGGGCATCTGTTTTCTTATTATGAATATCCCCACAGTTATTTATTTCTCTTTACATTTCTTTGGATTCATGTTAACTGTCTGCAACTCACAGGATATGACCCTTGACTACCCTCAACCTCTCATTGCCTGATATGATGATGATGCTTTATGACCTCATAGTACCTCGTCTTGATCTAATTCTGCAACCATTTATTGAACATCTGTTAAATTCTTACAGTTGGAGAAAGAAGTTGAAACCAAGGAGAAGTGGAATGGGAAATGAGTCAAGGGATTTATTTTCAAGGATCTTACGATGTAGTTGAGGAGATGGGATTGGTCAAAAGATGACCAGTAACCCCAAATAACATATATCAATCAAATGAAAGCTTTGGTGAGTTGATTCCATTGGGGATTTTTATGTAATTTATAGTAAAAAGATCTGGAAATAATTTTACTTTTGCTGTGAACACACTGTTAAGCAGATATGAATGGAAGAGTACCTTATTGCAAAGAGAGAAATAAGTTGACAGGAAGCTTATATTATAATTTAATATGCAAACAGTTAGGGAAGCTTACATGTTACCTGAGGGAATCATAGAAATGAACCATAGACTTTGTCAAATTAGCAGGGTAGGAAAAATATATTCCAGGCAGGAAACTATTTCCATCCTCCATAGAATCTTCATTTGAGGTAGTCTTTTTGTATATTAAATCCATTTTATTTTATTTTCCCTTTTTAAATTAAATGATGAGGAAGTTTAAAACCTTGAATAAATGACAGTAATATAGTTTATGTCACCTGCTTCTTTATGAGAAGGAAATGAATGCACCCAATGTGATGGGGTCACATATGTAGTTACCTGTAGTTTCCAGTATGTACAATAAAGTGGAGGTGTTGCAATTAGAGATTTTGAAATTATATATATATATATATATATATATATATATATATGAGTTGAGGAAGATAATTTATAATAAAGGCAAAAAGGAAATAACATTTAATAAGGACAAGAGTGAAAGAGAATAGAGAAATGTCAGGGGCTACAAAGCCTGTGGCCCTGCTGAGTTCAGAATTCACAGTTTTAGTTCAGATGCCTTTAGCTTCCTTTGTTCAGTTGTTGTTAAAGAGTTATCAGAATTTGCCTAAGTTTTTCCTCTATGAAAATTAATTATTTGGATGTTAACATTACAACTTTTTCTTTTTTGTTAATATTAAATTTGGTGTGCATTTGTGCCCACTTTTGCATAAAGGAATCTGGGTAGGTACAATTGCTTATGTATATTTGAGACCCATCAAAATATTCTTTTATTGATAGTCACAATGTGACTTTGAGCAAAGACCATAATTCTCAAAATTAGGCCTTATGAATATGAGTCATTTTCTTTTCCTTTCTGTCTATATTTCTAGCATAGGTTCTTGATTACTTTGTAATAAAAATCTGTCCTTTTTCTAAATTAGATTTACATAATACTTCATAAACATGCTGAAGCAAACAGACCAGTACTTCGTGGACTACAACAATCTGCTAATTCTTGAGGGTTCAATCTAGGGTGCTCCTGGACATTGTTTTCCTGGTCCCTGTACCAGCCCACTCAGGCTGGACCTGAAAATTAGGCTTTCTAGCAATGGAGATGCAGCATTTCAAAAACGTTCTTAGCATAGCAAAAGGCTGCCATTGAGAAATTGGTCCCATTGCCCACCTGTGTATTTTGTCTTTGTTATTTCCCACAGGAAAATATTATTTCCATTCCCTCACTCTGAGACCCTCCTGGATGCTCCCTTAGCCTCTCCCAAGTGTATGCCCATGGTCACTTCATCTTACTCACAACTCAGACGAATACCAGGGCTATAGGAATCAGAACAAATATAGCTATGTTTACATAAACCACTTATTGAGAATAAAGGAATACCAATGAGAAGAAAGGCTTAAGCTTTAAAAGAAATTTACAGCATGATTTAGAAGTAATTAAGCTCTTGGAAGTGCCTGGTTCTCTTTAGAGACGACATACATTTTTCTCTAAATAAAACAAGTGTTTTTTTAAGTAAAGCTTTCATTTTTTTTAATATGTTTATAACCAACTAGTATTGCAGTTATTTTATTTCTACTCCAAGATTTTCCACTGAAGTTGTATAGTGTAGCCATTAATTAGGATAATCTTTACCTTTCGTTTTATATTGGGGAAAGCATTTGGACCCAGAAAAACTGATTTACATATTCTGAGCTTTATTTATCCTGTGGGTCTTTCATTCATTCACTCATTTACTCATTCATTCACTCATTCATTCATTCTTTCATTCACTCAGTTAATCAGTAGTTCTGAAATATTATTGGATATTCCTTATGTAGCAGGAACACTGAGATGAGCAATTTACTGTTCTGACATTAAGGAGTTCATTAGTTAGTGGCACAAAAATAGCAAATCAAGCAGTGTTTGTTAGTACTCTGAAAATGAACATATCACCTACTGTCAGTATGTTCTAGGATGTTACACGAGCAAGGAAGAGGGATGTCATGTCAGCCTGGGAGCCCCGCTAGGAGGAAGGGACATTCGATCTTTGAAGAATGAGTATGGATCAAGTTGACCAGAGTTAAGTACATTCCAAGCAGAAGGAACAGCATGGCAAAGACATGGTAAAGACCTGTGATATTTGGGGATATTTAAGACCTGAGGATTGTTCAAGTGATATGCTCACATGAGATTTTGCTAGGTGATGAGGTGCACTTAGATCATCTTTAGTCTCAAACATGAATTTGAACTTGACCTCAAAGTCCAGCTCTCAAAACCTTTTAAATCAAGGAGTGTAGTGCTCTGATTTATGTTCTTTGAAACACTGGGATTTGGAAGTTGACAGGTAAAAAGGATGAATTGATTAAATAGAAAAACTAGACAAAGTTGTATTTCTAGGCACTGGTTTTAAAACCTCACTATCAGTAAAGTGATCAGTGAATGGGATTAGAAACCCCAGAGAATTCTGGTCCCTTTCCTCACATGAAGACACAGCTAGAAGGCACCATCCACGAGCACAGGCCCTTACCAGATGTGAATGTGCCAGCATCCTCATCTTAGACTTCCCAGCTTCTTGAACTCTCAGAAATACATTTTTGTTGTTCTTCAGCCACCCAGTTTATGGGGTGGGATAGCTGCTTAATCTTCACAATAAGAAGTCAAACTAAGGCATAAAAATTTAGTTACTTTTTCAGAAATAGTCAGTGGAAAAGAGCTCATTCCTCATTCTCGATAGACATTTTTGCTTAAATATGAAATTGGTCTCAAAATAAAAAAGTTAAAAGGTGGAGGATATAGCTCAATGCAAAGGGCCTGGTTCAATCTGGGTTCAGCTAATCCTCTGTACCACACACACACAAAAGTGATGAAGAGTTTAAGATGAGGCAGCCATACATAGAACTTTGGAAAATGGCTGAAATGGCTAAATAATAATGTTTTTTAAAAGTTGTAAAGTCATCCTAGAATATACAGAGCTCATATACATGAAGTAAGAGATAAGAACTCCCCAACAATTTTGCCATTGGAAGATTGACTTGAGCATGAAAAATATGATCATGAAAAATAATTTTAACAAATAGATCAAGCATAATTAGCTGAGAATGATGGAGGAGATACAAGAATACCAATTAGCCTGTGAAAATTATAATACTATGTCTAATTTCAAACAAACTAACTCAAAGTCCTTCCCATAAAATAAAAAAGAGAAGTATTTTAAAGTTTATGGGAATGCATGGCTAGGTTACAGGTTTTTTTTGTACCAGGGATTGAAATATTACAGTATCTTAAAAAATGCCAACTTCTGAAAATCTGTGACTTTAAATACACATTTGGACAAACTTTTATTTGTACAATTCACAACTTCAAATCTTGTTCAAAATCTTTCCTTAGTTTTTATTTTATTAAATGTTTTGTTCAACTCCACATTCTTGACTCTTCTCTATGCTTTTGTTCTTTAGATTCATTTATTTATTTATTCTCTCCATCTCATGCTATTCTAGGTACCAAGGGTACCACAGAGAACCAAAATGCCATCATTGCTCTGGAGCTATTGCGAAGTGTCAGCTTCTGGTCCATCAACTTTCACATGGCTATTAGCAAATCTACTTCCAGGCCTGTGTTTTATTGGACCCTTTGATCATAAATTGAGTAAATATAATTCACTCTCAGCTCCTTATCTTAGGAATGAAAATGAGCATTCACAAGTTGCCTTAAGTCTCAAGTGTTAAACTTTTATAAGCATGCTAGTACCTATTATTTTTATATGTGTACTCTACTAAGAGCAGCATGAACCACAGAAAAATTCAATTGTATCTTTATTATCTTTGTGTGTAGCAATTCATATTATTGGGCAAGACGAACTGATAGCATCTTGAATATTGGCTTAATGTCACCCTAAGGAGAAGCTAGTCAGAAATAGGTTTGTGACCTTGTGCACAGAAAGAATTTCTCTAGACCACAGCATCATATCTGTAAAATTAGAGTATTGGACCACCTTCCTGCTGAAAGCTGTCTTCACACAAAAGTCAATAGGCATTCAAGAAGTTAATAAGAAAGGTAAAGGGGAAATATAACTCTCACTGTAAGTTTGCTTGCCACTAAAGCTGCTTTCCTGGCTTATGTTTCTGAAAGGAAAATAAAGCAGAGAGGGATTTAGTGGCCTGCCAGAAATCAGTTCTATCATGAGCCAGACCAGAAATTACCCCATTACTGTACTATCTGCACCCATGCTTCCAGATTGTGGATGTCACTACAAATGGCAAAGGACAAATCAGGAGTCATAGGGCAGTCAGAAAAAAAGAATTATGGATAATGGAAATGAAGGATAACGGCTTTTACTTTTCCTATCAATATGATATTGTTCTCCAACTCTTACTCAGGGTCGGTCAGGGTCATTTCTTGGATGAATAAAAGATCTGTCTAGATACCACAGGAAGTGGTGTTGCTGATTCAGCATGTCTCAGATTGTCTAGTAAAACAAAGCCCTAGTTTAAGAGCCATAAAGTTGGGATTTGGGTTGTGGCTTTTTATATTTGCATATATATGTGTTTGGTGAGGAAGTGGAGGTGGGAGAGGAAACTGCTCAAGTGTTTTCTCCTGAATGTCCTGACTGAATGCAGCTTTGAATAATTATGTTCTTTTGTCTGTTTGTACTTTCTCAGCAGTTTCCTTATGTGTTGTCTCAAATCTTCAAAACTTTGACCATGGGGTCTTAAAACCATAAGGATAAAAGCTTTTTTTTTTGGGTAGTGCACACTGCAAGGGATACTTGTGGTCACTCCACATCCTGGTCTAGATTAGTGGTTGAGAACTGCATCCACTGTGAAAGAGGGCAGCTGAGTCATTTGAGACATCTGTAGAGCATAAACGTGGAAATAATTTATGTACTTTCTAATTCACATTCTCAGTTTTGACCAGTAAGTAGCTTAGTCGCTTGGAGAATTACACTTTTAATGAATTTGCATTTCAAGAAACATTTGTTGGTACAACACACAGATAAACTATTGTTTTAGAAAGACTATGAGGGTCTTACCTGATGGAAAGGTGATTTGATGGAAGTTGATGGACCCGAATTCTGGCTACTTGTGTTGGACAACTCACAAACTAGCTCTGGAATCATGATTACTCAGCTTAATTGGGGGCTTCAATTATTTCGTCCATAAAATGACATTCATTAAGGCCTTCAACTCGGACATTTCTGTTCTACTGTTTCTTGGCACAAAAGCTCTGTAAAAGCCAAGATATATGTGATGATTTGGGAACTTTCAGGAGCCAAATGAATATTAAAAACCTAAGTAATATAACCATTAGAAGAATGCTGTGTGTATATGCACCTGTGTATGTGGCCCTGTCTGTCTCATAGGACCTGAATATGTCAATTGTCAGAAAGATTTTCTAAAATCTAGCTTCTACAGAAATTCTTTTCCTCCTAAGGTCTTTGTTCCTCTGCAGGGTTTTCTTCCCTAAGAAATTATCTTTGAGGAAAGACAGATGACTTGAATTTCTCAGCTGAGACCTAATAGTGAGAATCTCAGTAAGTGAAGATTAGTTTAATGATCCAGAGCTAGGTGAGCAGGTGACATGTAGATGCCCCTTGCCATGCCAGTGATGGGGGCAGACGGCCTGTTGTCATCCTTCCTACTATCACTGTGTGTACCGTTAGGAAGGATGTTCGTGCACACACTTGGGCTTCCTATCATTGTCCCTGTCCTCCCTGCACTGTGTTCAAGAAAGACGAAAGATTCTGGTGACACTCAGCATCCTACTGCACATCAAAGAATTATATTTGCTATCCTTTCTCCTTATTATACTTTGATTATTTTTCTTTTCAAAATAAATGGCTTTCTTTTGTGACTAGATATTTTTGCTGTTCATATTGAGTCAGGGGATTGGTCAATTGTGAATTTTCAACAAGAAGCATTTTTGGTTGAAGTTAGAAAAAATAAAGCCATAAATCCTTTTCCTCCTGGATTGATCAAGTTCCATTTTCTAGTCCATTTTTCTTAAATCTGTCCACTCTTGGAGCACCTGAGATTTCAGGAAGTGTTTGAGTTTGTCTTGAGGAAATGTTAAACCATGATGTCCATCTCTATTCCTGACCTGGTTCTAAACTTCCTCTTTGACTCATCTATGTTTCTACTTGGCATTTCAAGTAATCCTGCCTATTTGCCTTCTCTTTGAGGAGCTGCTTTCTCCTTCCTTTGCTCCTGGTTCCTTTGTTTGTAATCTCTTTTGCTTCATGTACTCACCAGTGAGAAATAATTTTTAAACTTTCATACTTACTTGGTAGCCCTGTTTTGACCTAATCATATTCTACATTGCCTTGTCATTGTCATCTACATGATCCTACTCTTACATGAGGTTGTAAAGATGACCTTCACTAATGTTTGCCAATTGAAATAAAAAAGTTTATTCATTAGCAAAGACTTTGAAAAGTTTCCATATGAAAAATTGTCAAAATAGTTATGTTATTAGAACAATTAATGACATTTTAATTAGGTCTATAGGTTAGGTGGTATTATTGCATCAATGCTTAATTTCCACACTGAGGTTACCATCACTATATATTCCAGCAGCATTATTCTTAGGAAATGCACACTGAAATATTTGAATGTAAAGGGGCATGATGTATACAAAATTACTCTCAAATTGTTGGAAATATCTTTATATATTGCACATAAATATGTATGGATGGGTATTCTTTATTTTTGTAAGTCTCAGGTAAACTTGGAATTATTTCAAAATAAAAAGTTAAAAAAATAAATTAAGAACTTTAAAGCTGATGCAAAAAATAGTACATATTTGAGTTGTTCATTTTTTTTTTTTGGTACTGGGGATCGAACTAGGGTCCTTGCGCTTGCGTGGCAGGTGGCGAAACCACTGAGCCAAATCCCTGGCCCGAGTTGTTCATTTTTTGTTATTGAGATTTTGGAGTTCTTTATTTATTCTGGATGTTGACCTCTTGGCTGATGTGTAGGGTGCAAATATTTTCTCCCATTCTGTAGGTTGTCACTACATTCTGCTGATTCTTTCCTTTGTTGTGAAGATTTTTAGTTTGAGGTAACCTTGTCTATTTTTGCTTTTGTTTCCATTTTGAGGGGGTCTTAATCAAAAAAATCCTTACCCA